TGTATATCAAAAACACATTATAGCTTGTCCAACGTACCAACAGTAACTAGGGAAGTTAGAATATCTATTTTATTTTTCATACCCTAATCTTTTTCCCTATTTTTTTTTATTCATAAAATTAGTAAGAAGATTAATTGCATCTGAGTTTACCTACCATGCAAAAAATACATTTTTGACCCGTTTTTTTTCGATCTTGAAAAGAAAAATATTATTATAATAACACTTCTAAATTACAGAATTAGAATATTCGTTCTGAAAATTTGTTACTGCTGACCAGTAAACCGAAGGCTCTCGCAAGCAACGCGTTTTGTGATTGGTCAAACCGTATGTGCGTGCGCATGTTTTCGTTTTGCGGGCTCATATAATTAGAAAAAAATATTCACCATTCATCACAACCCATGCAGTTCAAATACAAAAATTTTTACCGCGACCAATGTTTAAAAAAATATAACCTAGATTAATAAGAATAAAAAAAAAACTATAAAAAGATGAAAAAGAGATATAGATACAGACTATGATTGGACGGAATGGATTTTCTAGCATTCTAATTGGCCATAGTTAATAGATAGTTATAGTTAATATCCCTCTATTATCTATGAATTGGCTGAGAAGGGAAGTTATTTGAATGACACGAGGTGCTTAGCAAAGAGCTTTTAAGTTGTGACGTATTTTTGTGGGTCTAATTGCTCAAAAACCGCTAAAATAAAGCGAAAAATGTTCTCAATAATTTAACCTCCAGCCGAAACAAAAACTTTAGACAACAAATCCAAAGCCATGAAGAAAAAAGTAAGGAAAAAACCTTCATAAAACTGCTTTTTGTTGTCGACCAGGAAGTTGTTCTGAATCAATAGTCGAAGAACCTATGTTTCTCTTTCACATACGAAATAATACCTTAAAATGAAACAATTCAAGCCGATTCCTGCATCAGTTTATAGTTATGAAGCGAACYTCTCTCCATGTACAGTTGGCTTGCATTTTCTAGTCGTCTGCGTTTCGCTGGTCTTCCATCGTTGTCGGCTTCATCGGTGTTGTCGGATGGTTTACCGTACCCCCCTCCCCCAGGGGTTTCAATGTGGAAACAATCCTGAAAAATAAGAATTGTCGGTATTCTCTTCACTTGAGTCCAGAACTGGATCCACTTTTCTCAATCACTATAAAATCGTTTTAAAATCTAATCATCTCGCATCTTGGTTAAATTTAACAAAAGTATTGTCAATGAATTCTTTTGTTATATMATCCAACATGTCCGCCGTGTCTCCTGTTATTTCACCCCCCGTGGGAATGATTGAAAACCAGCAATAGATAAATAAAGATGAGCATGATATGCTAGTGCAAGGGATATTTTGTAAGTATTATCGTCCACATACCCCTGGTTGAACAGAAACCAGAGTTTTACAGCCCAAGTTCACCACATGACCATCTGAATAAATTAACAAGTTTCGCCCGCACGCGCCAGGTTCACCGCCTGAAATGAAGGAAGGAAAAAGAAGACGGCTTGAGTTAATGTAACAGCTTTTGTGGATGCATTTTGCTGCGCTATAATGCGTTTAGAAAAATAAATTTACCAATGAGTCCATTTCCTCTGGGACGTAAAGGCCACTTGCGGCCATGGAATGGAATGACTGGAGGAAAGACTATTTGCTTGCAATATCAATATCAAGAAAGTCACCATCACCATCATTACCATCGTCATCACCACCATCATCAGCATCACCACCATCATTATCACCACCATCATCATCACCAGCATCATCACCAACACCATCAGCATTATAACCACCATCATCAGCATCAGCATCAACACCACCAGCATCATCACCATCATTATCATCACCACCATCATTACCATCATCATCACCACCATCATTATCATCATCATCACCACTATCATTACCATCATCATCACCATCATTATCATCACCACCATCATTACCATCATCATCACCACCGTCATCATCATCATCACCATCATTATCATCAACATCGCCATCAAAAGCTAAGGCGGGTTTGATCCCTGGGCTCGGTGTCGTATGTGAGTAAGGTAGAGCTGGTTTTCTCCTAAATTTCAATTCTGTGAGGAACCACTGTTTAATTCCTATTATTTATTTATGACCATCCCCAACATAGTCTCTGCTTACCTTCAAGGCCATAAGGATGGAAAGCTCTTCTCTCGCTAAGGACAGACAGCTCGACAGGACGTCTGAAAAGTAGCTCTCTTATCACCCCGTCACCTCCCCTGTGTAATCCTCGTCCACCGGTGCCTGGGTTCAAATGGAAGCGCCTAAGCATCACGGGATACCTGGAGTAACAAAGAACGTCAATGCTCTGATTGGCTAGATGTTTGTTCGTCAAAAAAACATGTAATTTATTATCAATCATTAATTATTAAGAGAGAATTCTTTTCATATCCAAGCAGTGAGCGCCAAAAACTATTTTCTTGAAGAAAGGCTGTTGTACAAGGCTGAAATCTTGTTATTCAGAAAGAAAGTTTAACTTGTTTGGAAGTGGAGATGACCGATGAAAGTGGAATCAAATTGTTAACCCAAAGCAAAAATTTTATTCGAAAATGAGGTTTAGGCCTTTATTTGCTTATTTCCCCGCCATATATTTTCTATAAAAAAAGCCTGACAAAGCAACATTCTAACACAAATGCAACAAAACATCTTTGTACAATTGAAAATACCGCTTCAAACAGGCATTTTATCATAGTACATCAGTTTCTAACTGTTTAAAAAAGGTTTTGAGTGTTAACCCAAAACGAAAATTGGGATCAAAACTCATACGAAAGTCTAGTTTTTGGCGCTTTTTGCCATTATTGCTCGTTATTGAAAAAACTTTCCTCTTAATCATTAATTATTATTCATAAATCATTAATAATAAATCATTTATTTATTATTTATTTATTATTTAGTCTCTTACTCAACCTCGGATTGGCTAATAGTAGAGAGGAAAATCGTGCTGAGAACTAACCTTGATTCCAGGACCTCTGGATCAGTGATGCGAGTATTTGTCATGTGTACATGCACACCGCTACGGCCATCCCATGTGGGACCCTAGAACAGTATAAAATAGAACATCCATCAATAATCAAATAGCGTAAACTGGTGTCAACCATTCATTTAGCGCATATGAAAGCGCGCACATCCCTGTCCACAGTGAAATGCTGATGACGCTCTTATTTATTAATAGTTATAGTTTAGATTAGTCCATGAGTTTATTAATAGATATCAATAATTATAGTTCATATTAGTCCATGAGTTTATTAATAGATATCATTAATTATAGTTCATATTAGTCCATGAGTTTATTAATAGATATCAATAATTATAGTTAAGATTAGTCCATGAGTTTATTAATAGATATCAATAATTATAGTTAAGATTAGTCCATGAGTTTACTAATAGATATTAATAGTAAGATATCCATCGTTATAATAAATATTAGTCTACCAGTCGTTGAGTCATATTGCTTGCCCTTAATAAACTGAGAATAAAAAGTTTCCGTCCGAAAACTAGATGCAAGATAAGAATAACGATCAATGTTTGCCTCACAGTTTCTGTTTTATGAAGGCATGGTTACTAGGGTGAGACTGTTGCTAGGGACAAGACGTTTTCTTTCCTAAAGGCACGCCAAAAACAAGCTRCCATAGCATCAGGATCCTTCATCATATATCATTTCTTTGTTTAACGGTTGCGCATGAGAAGACACATGAATATAGATACAACTCAAACAAAGAATCTTATTCTCAATGGAGTAAAATGTGGACTGAAATGGGAAAACATTACGCCTAAGTGGATTTGGTCAATATCGTCCTCAAGAACCATAACATTTAGCTTCCAGAATCCCTTACGGTAGCTTTTTTGTTATGCTAACTTACACTATTGTCTTGGTATTCTCAAAGGAGTAGAGATTTTGAAAAGAGATTTTGAAAAGGATTGTGGTAGTTTAAGTATGAAACGTCATTAGGGTTAGGGTCTATTGAAAATAGCCTATAAAAGAATAGTCCCCTTCACAGTTCCCTGCGCCATCTYGWAARGTAGCCGTGCCTTGGCATTGAAGCGAGACGAACGGTGAGCTTGCAATGATAGAGACCTTTTTTAACACCTTGGACAATTATTCACGTCTCTATCATTGCAAGCTCACCGTTCGTCTCGCTTCGATGCAAAGGCACGGCTACTTTACAAGATGGCGCAGGGAACTGTGAAGGGGACTATTGATAATAATGAACAGTGTTTGCCTGTGTTCGCCTGTTCAGCTCAATAAGGGCAAGCAATATGTACTCCACTCACCGCTCCAGATCCACCAGCGATTGTTTCGTAATAACCATACTTAGCGTCACCAAACGTGACATTATTCATGCAGCCCTGCGCGAAGGAATAACTCTATTACTATAACAAGAATACAAGATCTAGGGAATGTATGTCATACACAGCTACATATCCGATAGGTACGCATCCCGGATAGATAAACGTCCGGTAGGTCTAAAAGACTGGTAGGTTAGCTATAAAGTAACCTTTTTCAAAAGGTTGAGAAATGGCCGGTAGATAACATACTAAAATGCCCTGTTGGTGTAAACCACGATACAGTATGGCCGGTAGATAACATATTAAAATGCCCTGTAGGTGATGTCACGGTACAGTAACCATGTCCGGTAGGTAACTATAAGTCGTTACGGAATAACTTGAAATGTCCAGTAAACTATGTCCGGTACATAGATAGGTGTGTGCACTCAAATAGGTAAAGACCACCTCGTTCACATACCGGGTAGGTAAATTACCCGATAGCTACATCCAGGGCAAATATCAGTTAGAATGCAATACTCAATAGGATAGGTAGCCATACCCTGGATAACGCGGGGTTCCGGGTTTGTATACATACATACATCCCCTAGGTGACGTTCTAGTCACGTGACTCACCGCCCCAGCTCCCCCGGCTAGTGTCTCTATGTACTGATACTTGTACTCGTCTCCAAAAGCGGTTATATTCATACACCCCTGTATTATCATTTATTACACTCATTAATAATTCATGAGAAAAACACAACAGAAATTACGACTGTGAAGAGTTTTGTAAATCAGATACAGAATCCTGTTCATTTGCATAAACTTAATGATGGATTTTCTTGGCCAGATTCACTTTTATCTTGAAAATTTTAGTGAAAGACAAAGGAACTAACCTACTGTATATATTACTTACATATTCATTAACACAAGCGTTAGTGACGTGAATGAGAATCGTCTGCGCATGCGCGAAGTCTGTCGGTATGCAAATTGGTTGAAATGTATTTGTGCTCTACTTTCTCGCAGCCCATAATGCTTTGTTTCATGGGGGGGGGGGGGTAACCAATCAAAAACCTTTCCCAAATTGAAACGTTCTTCAATCGAATATATACTATACCTGCTTTTATCTGTACAATACTGAGTATCAGTTTATCCCGAGTTAATTTGGTGCGTTCTGAACATCTCGAGGTTTGGTGTTACAGAAAATGCATTGACTTACGAAGAAAATGTTTAAAATTTACTTTACAATTCTTCAAGCTTCTATCTTTTTCTGTTTTTTTGTTTTGATTTTTTGTTTTGTTTTGTTTTGTTTTACTTCTTCAATTTATATTTGGATAAATCAAACGAGGTATTTTCAACATTGCCTGATCGGCCTTAAGCAAAATTTTCTATTTATAACTTCTTCATTTTATATTTGGATATCAAACGAGATATTTTCAACATTGTCTGATCGGCCTTCAGAAAAATAAGTGGGTTTTTACCCTCTGGTTACCCCCCAAAGACGCAAAGTATTATAGGCATGGGAAAGTAGAGAATTCCAACCAGCTGAGCGGTGGATTTTGTTTCAGCCAATCACAGCTCGTTTAGCTGTTTTGCCGCAGGCCCTCATTCCCAGGCTACTGTAACCCAACGTTTGTGTATTTTTCTGTTTTCTTTTGACTAAAATTCAATATAGGTGCCTTCAAGAGGCAGAAATATGGAAAGGAAGAATAAAAACAATTTCATTTTACCGCCATGTTTGCTTCGTTCTTTCAAGCTCAGAAAAAACTTAGGGCCGGTCATTTTGTACACTCATGCTTTGCGCACCGCGTTCACTGCTCAGCTGGAAGTGATTTGGTATCCAGGCGCGTAATGCATTGTTTGTCACAGCGACAAGCTGTTTTCTCTTGTCAAAACTACGTATTTTTCACCCCGCATTCATACAGTTATCAATCTGTTTTTGGTAAAAATAAGATTCCCCAGGATTTTTGAGAATACGTTGTTCGCAACAAAAAATGAAGCAGTTTTTAAAAATGAGACAAAGTTCTCAGAATGGTAACAACCGCAAACCGGTTGGCTCAGTTGGTTGAGCATCGGACTTTCGTGCGGGAGGTCGTGGTTCGAGTCCCTGCCGGACCAACACTCAGGGTCTTAAAATAACTGAGGAGAAAGTGCTACCTTTGTAATTACATCTGCAAATGATTAGACTTTCAAGTGGCTCAGATGATCACTTTTAATGGACATTTGAGGGACGTAAAAGAACCACTGAGGACGTAAAGAAACCCTGGCAGTGACCACCCTCAGTGCCTACACATCACACTAACCATCTCATGATTGTAAGTTGCATAAAAAGCACCTTTATGTTCATAGAAAGCGCACTATATAAATCATAAATAATCTTTGCCAGATGTGGAAGTCCTGTGGTTTGTAGGACGAAAGCGAAGCTACGAGAGTGAAAACAATGTTGTGCTTTACGATACACAATTCATGAAGTACCTGCCCGACTTTGCGGGAATATTACTGTCCTACCTGTGAGGCTGCGCAGACCTTGAAGGCTTTAAACACAACATCTACGATTCTCTGACATGTGAGTACGTTGCCTCCCACCACGGCAGCATTCTCTGATGGCGATAGAAGACTTGACTTGGGAATCTTGACCGTCACTGGATTAAGACATCCCTAAACAACAATGCAAGATTAGGGAAAGTTCATTAAAATCCCGGAATTCTCAATTTGAATACGATCGTAATGACACAAACCATTCGTTTTCCAACCGGAATTTCCGGTTTTTCCTGGATAAATGTTAAGCACTCGAGGTAATAAACTTTTCCCGCTCTTTTTGGTTCTTCCGGTAGACGCGTGCACCATTTGTCGGAAGTCAAAGTTTCCCGCTCTTTTTGGTTCTTCCGGTAGACGCGTGCACCATTTTTCGAAAGTCAAAGTTTCCCGCTCTTTTTGGTTCTTCCGGTAGACGCGTGCACCATTTGTCGGAAGTCAAAGTTTCCCGCTCTTTTTGGTTCTTCCGGTAGACGCGTGTACCATTTGTCGGAAGTAAATCTTCCCACTCTTTTCTTACCATCGAACAAATTTCCCAACAGATGGATTGGTTTAATGGTAAAACTTACCCCAGAAAAGCACTCATAAATCAACCAAAATGGCGGTTTTTGGAATCAGAAGTTGTTACTAACCTGATTAAGGGGGATATCTTGATTTACCATACATCGTAGACAGTAGATGATAGCAGAGAATGTGATGGCTCTGGGTGCGTTACAGTTGCCATACATCTCGGGTCCAGTCCCTTCGAAGTCAAACACAGCACTTCCCTAAATGATACAATAGAAATATGATCATCAGTACAATAGTGTAGTGAAGCCGCGACCCTAGACTTTTAATCGAGGAATATAAAACGCACGCGCGTCTCTCTGTACTGTGACATAAACACGCTGGGAGCTGTAGAGCACGAGAGAAGTAAGCTTAGGAACACGAGGTGTAGCTTAATGTTTTTCTTGCTTCTCGAGAGCTCTACAGCTCCCAGAATGTACATTTGCGCGAGCGTGTCTCTGTCCACTGATATAAGCACGGTAGTCAGCCAATCAACGCACGCGTTATATCTTAAATATTTTATAATAGACTATTAAGGTACGCAAGACAAATGACTTCAAATACTGATTTGACGCATGCGTGTTGGACACACTAAAGTATCAAAAGTCCAGACGTAATGCGGGCGCATACATGCAGTGATTGTCACCAAGACAAGTAGATACGACGTACCGTGTCCAGATCAATAGAGACAGTCAGTTGTATCGCAGTACCATCATCCATGTATTCTCTGGCTGAGAAACGGGTCTGACCTGTTTCTTCCTGTATTAACAAGAGTGAACATTGAAATCATGAATTTCAGGCAAATGGGGGAAAATTATCCGCTTACGGGACGAGCAACGGATCACGAGACGAAATCGAGACGAATACGGGACGAATATGGGACGAATACGGGACGAATACGGGACGAATACGGGACGAATACGGGACGAATACGGGACGAATACGGGACGAATACGGGACGAATATGGGACGAATACGGGACGATTATGGGACGATCACGGGACGATCACGGGACGATCGCGGGAATATATAGAATAAATCTAGCGCAAGGGTCGATCTACCCTCATGTCAACGGGCCTACTCATGCTAAACAACGTTGTACCTTGAACTTCTTCCCCACGACCTGAAGCATTTGACGAACGGCATCTTCAGCGTTATGCTGTGTAATTAAACAAGACGATAAGCATTTACTTCTCTGTATTACACATTTACCCATCCCCCGGTACTATGTCAGTGACCCCTTGGCCCCCCCCCCTACCCCCNCAACAGTACCCACTTAAATACTTGGTGAAATGAGGTAATGCAGAAGTAAAGCATGCAGTCCAGGGACACAAGCCAATCGGAACATGAGCAGGAGTTAAACAAATCTTTAACAATAGATATCTCACCTGTATATGATTCATGTAGGCCTGGACGACGTCTAGCTTGTATTCATCTATCAGCTCTTTGATCAGTGATATACCCTGGAAAATAAAATAAAAAGATCAAACCTTAAAACATAAAAAATAAAAGACGATACAACATTTGGCTGATCTAAGTCAGGGCATGGCTAACTCACAGATAGAACCCTGAAACAACCTCTGGGCTGATCTAAGTCAGGGCATGGCTAACTCAAAAATTTCGCGTGTTGGGTTTCGCAAAGGAAGAAAAACCGGAGAACCGGGATAAGAATTCTCGAATCAAGAGAGAGACCCAAGAAACTTGAAAGTGAAAGGTGAATGCATTGACACTACACCACCCTTGATTCAGCCTACCGTCAAACCAGCGTAAAATCATGATATGATATGAGATCACTGGTTAGTTTCATTCACCCTAATTACCTTGTGATTGGCCGCCACCTGAGCACGCAGATCTGAAATGTTGTCCTCTAAGTTGCGAGTCCCGCTACACCCGGGGTATTTGCCTGGCTCCATCAGCTTTTCTGTCAAGGCTGAGAAAGAAATGCCAAATCGATAAAAGAATCATCACGAAGACCTGAAGAGCATTTGTTGTATGATTTGGAAACATAATGTACTGACGCACAGCACGTACACGGTACGACATGCCATAACATTGAAATGGCTTCCCATATGAATGGTTGTCGTATATATATATGTGTACAGTGGGAAACGTACGGTACTGAATCACAGTACGTACACGGTACGACATGCCAAAGCATTGAAATGGCTTCCCATATGAATGGTTTTCGTATGAGTGGGAAACATATGATACTGACCTACAGTACGTACACGGTATGGTATGCCATAGCATTGAAATGGCTTTCCATATGAATGGTTATCGTATGAGTGGGAAACATATGATAGTGACCTACAGTACGTACACGGTATGGTATGCCATAGCATTGAAATGGCTTCCCATATGAATGGCTATGAGTGGGAAACATACGGTACGACATGCCATAGCACACGGCACGCAAACGGTACTGAATTGATTTTATTCGTTGTGGTGCAACGTTTTCCCATTTCAGTCCACGTGTTATTCTCTTGCATGAATAAAGATTATTGGTTTGTAGTGTATCCATATTCATGTGTCTTCTCTTGTGCAACCATTAAACAAAGAAATGATACTCTAGGGAATGACACGTGGTCTGAAATGGGAAAACATTACGCCCAAGGTAAACAAAGAAATGATACTCTAGGAATGACACGTGGTCTGAAATGGGAAAACATTACGCCCAAGCTAAACAAAGAAATGATACTCTAGAGAATGACACGTGGTGTGAAATGAGAAAACAGTACGCCCAAGGTGAACAAAGAAATGATACTCTAGGAATGACACGTGGTCTGAAATGAGAAAACATTACGCCCAAGGTAAACAAAGAAATGATACTCTAGGGAATGACACGTGGTCTGAAATGGGAAAACATTGCACCAAATGAGGTCTGACCATATTCGTGAAATTACTTCTGTCGCCGCCAAAATGATTAAAACTAATATTAATTATTTCTTCCCGTTATTGTTACCTGCTTCCTTGAACTGTCCATTGGTGACCAACTTGAATGATTTGAAGACAGCGCCTTCGTCAAAAATGCTCTTGGAGTTGGGCGGCATTGAACCTAMAACCATGAAACACAAAATATTAACTTACATTTATAAACGAATGATGCATGGTAAATAATCATGTGTACTTTACAATTTGAATGGAATAGAGATTTTGCACCATCACGTAGTCATGTTAGATGGCTACATGGTTACATGTGAAAGAATTTAATTTCCGCGAGGGATCTTATTGTTCTACCAACTAACCTCAGGCAGTCTTCACTTGGATTTAACTTTAATTCAAAACTTGTTTGCATCTATATATTTGACTGACTAGTTGGATTTGACTAAAACAATTAGTCCTCTCGTCCTCATGGCCTATGAGTCAATTGATGGGTTGCAAGCATTCCCAAGAGAGTCAAAAGACAAAAACATGACGGTAATTGTGGTGCCGTTAACAATGGATGATAATGAGAAATCTTTTGTTAAATGGAACCAACATGGCTGCGATGACGTAACGTGCAATCGAAGAATAGCCTGTTCGGCCTTCGGGCTCATTGGCTATTGACTCATAGTCCATTCGGGCTTGAGGACTAATTGCTAAATAGATTTTTCATCGTTTCACACCTGGTGCTTTGCCCCCGATGTCAGCATGATGGCCACGACTAGCAACGTAGAAGACAGGTCTGGACTGACCTGGGTAAAACACCTGAACACGACACAGAATAAATGAATCACTGGGATCATACGAGAAATGTTAGTGAGC